GTATCATGTCATCTGCAAACAATGATAATTTAACTTCTTCTTTTTGTATCTTTACCCCTTTTATTTCTCTCTCTTGTCTAATTGCTCTGGCTAGTACTTCCAGTACTGTTTAAATAGGAGTGGTGATAAAGGACATCCTTGTCTTGTGTCTGATTTTAAGGTAAAGGCGGTCAATTTTTGGCCATTTAGTATGATGCTGGCTGTTGGTTTGTCATAAATGGCCTTTATTATATTGAGGTAAAGACCATCTATTCCAATTTTCTGTAAAGTTCTTATCATGAATGAATATTGGACCTTATCGAAGGCTTTTTCTGCATCTATAGAAATGATCATGTGATTCTTGCTTTTGGCTTTATTGATATGGTGGATTACATTTATTGATTTACGTATGTTGAACCATCCCTGCATTCCTGGGGTGAATCCCACTTGGTCATGGTGTATAATCTTGATGATTTGCTTCATCCTATTTGCCAATATTTTATTGAGGATTTTTGCATCTTATGTTCGTTAGGGAGATTGGTATATAGTTCTCTTTTTTAGTTGGGTCTTTCTCAGGTTTTGGTACTAGAGTAATATTTGCTTCCAGGAATGACTTGGGAAGGATTGCTTCCCTTTCAATTTCATTGAATAGTTTGAGGAGTGTCGGCATTAGGTCTTCTTTGTATTTCTTGTGGAATTCTGCAGTGAATCCATGTGGGCCTGAGCTCTTCTTTGTAGGTAAGGACTTAATTACATTTTCAATTTCATTAATAGAGATTGGGTTATTCAGCAGTTTTACATCCTCTTGATTTAGCTTTGGTATTTCATATGTTTCTAGGAATCTGTCTATTCTGTGTTATCAAACCTTTGAGAGTAGAAGTTTTCGAAATAGCTGTTGATGATCTTCTGTATTTCTGTAGAGTTTGTAGTGATTTCACCTTTTTCATTTCTTATTGCATGAATTTGAGCTTTTCCTTCCCTTTTTTTAATAAGGTTGAGTATAGGGGCTTATCGATTTTATTTATTTTGAAGAACCAACTCTTTGATTCGTTGATTCTTTGGATTGTTTTCTTAATTTCTGCTCTGATTTTTATAATTTCCTATCTTTTGGCTTTGGGCTTGACTTGCTCTTTTTTTTCTAGCTGTTTGAGGTGTAGCATCAAGTTATTTATTTGTATTCGTTCTGTTTTGCTGATGTGGGAACTCAGTGCAATAAATTTTCCTCTGAGGACAGCTTTCATTGCATCCCACAGATTCCAGTAAATTGTATCTGCATTTCCATTTTCTTGTAGGTATGTTTAATTTCTTCTGTGACCCACTCATTACTCGAGTGTGTTATTTAGTTTCCATGTGTTTGTGGGATTTTTGCAGTATCTTTTATCATTAATTTCTAATTTCAGAGCGTTATGATCTGATAATATGCAAGGGATGATTTCAACTCTTTTGCATTTCTTTAAATATGTTCTGTGAGCTAATACATGGTCTGTTTTAGAGAATGATCCATGTCCTGCTGAGAAGAATGTGTATTCTGATGTTGTTGGGTGGAACATTCTTATATGCCTATCAAGTCCATTTGTTCACAGGTGTGATTCAGTTCTGTTATTTCTTTGCTCATTTTCTGTCTGGTTGATCTGTCCCTTGGTGTCAATGGCATGTTAATGTCTCCTGTTACAATTATATTACTAATAATTTGAGTTTTCATTTCTGTTAATAGTTATTTTATATAACTGGGTGTTCTGGAGTTTGGTGTATATATATTTAAGATAGTTATCTCTTCGTCTTTGAGTTTTCCCCTAATGAGTATGTAATGACCTTCTTTGTCCTTTATGATCATCATTGGTTTAAAGTTCATGTTGTCTGCAAACAGAATGGTTACTCCTGCTTTTTTTTGGATTCCTGTTGCGTGAAGTATTGTTTTCCATCCTTTGACTTTCAGTCTGTGAGTATCCTTCTGGGTTAGATGGGTTTTGTTTCTTGATCCATTCTGCTAGTCTGTTTCTTTTGGTTGGTGCATTGAGACCATTTATATTAATGGTTATAACTGTTACATGCTGGTTTATTGTTGACATGTTATCTCTCTGCTGTTGCATCTTTATCTTTCTGTTTGTTTAATTATCTGCTTTGCTTAGTGGTTTTTTCCTTTGTGTATCTAAACTGCCTCTCAATATTTTTTTGCAGGATTGGCTTGGTGTTCATGAAGTTCTTCAGCTGTTCTTTGTCATGGAAGTATCGTATGTCACCATCAATTTTGAATGATAGTTTTGCAGGGTACATCAGTCTAGGTTGGAAATCATTTTGCTTTAGCATCTGGAATACTTCACTCCATGCTCTTCTTGACTTTATTGTTTGTGCTGAGAAGTCTGCTGTGATTCTGATAGGTTTTCCTTTATAAGTGATCTGTCTTTTCTCTCTGACAGCTTTTAATAATCTATTCTTATGTTGGATTTCTGGGATGGTGATTATTATATGTCTGGGTATAGTTTTATTTTGGTTATGACTATTTGGAGTTCTGTAGGCTTCACTGAACCTGATGTTGGTTTCTGATTTGATGCTTTGGAAATTTTCAGCTATTCTCTAAATATCCTCTTGACATCCTTTATGTTGTCCCCTTCTTTTTCATTAATCCCTATCAATCTTATGTTACTTTTTTTTGCATCATCTCGCAGTTGAATTGTTATTTCCTGGTTCCTTGTTATTTTTAAAAGATCTTTCCTTTCCTGTTCACTAGCTGCAATCCTGTCTTCAAGGTCTGAAATTCTGTCTTCACTTTCTTTGAGGCGGTTTTTACAGTTTTCAGTGGAGTTTTTTATTTCCTGTATATCTCTGTGCATCTGCTTTATGTATTGTTTGTTTCTTATATTGCTCATCTAGGGTTTCTATCTTTTTGTTTAGTTCCTCCAATTTTTTAACTGTGTTTTCTTTAGATATGTTCAGAATCTCTTTCATTTCTTTTATCATTTCTTCTTTTACCTGGGAGATTATTTCGAGTTTGAATTCCTTTAAAGCTTCCTGGATTAGCTTGTTTATTTCAGTAGCTGTTATGTCCGATATTTGAGGTTTATGCCATACATTTTCTTCTATATACATCACTCCTAGGGTTTCTTGGGATGGGCTAGAGGTTTGAGGTTGTAATTTGGTCTTTCGTTTTGTCATTTTCCTGTATTTCTGTGTTTCAAGTGTTATTTGAAAGCTTCCTCAAGGTCTGTTGGAAATCCACTTCTATGTTCACAGCTCCTGGGACTCTGGCACCCAGTTCCCCCAGGCTGCTGGGCCTCTTAACCAGTCGCCCTTTTCTGCCTGTTTAGAACTCCGTAGTTCCACATGAGTTGGCTACAGGGACACTGTGCGCCCGCCTGCTTGCTGGAAACTCCACAGTTCTCCGAGCGCAGCCGGCATGGGGAGGCGATGTAGATGCCTCAGACCCACTTAGCCACTTCACTGCACCCAGAAGCCTGGAGGGTCCCGAACAGTCTGGGCTTGGGGCAGAGTGCACTGGGCACTTACCGCAGGCCGAGGGTCCTCTGGAACTGGTGGTGTTCGCCTGCTTGCTGAGAAATCCACAGTCCTCAAACACCCGCGAAGGTGGATGCAGGCGCCCCAGATCTGCCCAACCCTTCCTCTGCACCCACACGGTGCAAGAGTCCCAAATAGGCTGGGCTCCAGGGATAGTGTGTGCCCGCCTGCTTGTTAGAAAAGCACCCTTTCCTGAATGTCTTCAGTTGGTTGCACTGTCATAGTTGCCTCAGTACCCTTCCTGACTTATGTTCGTTTTGACTTGAGGTAAAAGTTGGAGGGTGCCACATCCTGTGAATAAGGTATGAGAATAGGTAGTAATGTTTTTATGAGGCGGCCTTTCTATTGGGTGGCATAGACAAACAGCATTCACCACGTTTTTATCATTCTTTGTGTAAAGACATGAAAGAGGACTTCAGAATTGCTTCAGAAAGTGCAAGATGATGGGATAAATATGTTCCAAGTGAGTGAGGAGGATTTTGAGGAGATGAATGACAGTGTCCTTTACTCTTTTTTTTTTTTTAAATTAGACATTTGCTCTATTTTGTTATATATTTATTTTTGTCTTTTTGAGACAGGGTCTTGCAGTGCAGTTCAAGCAGGCCTTGAGCTCACTTTGTAGCCCAGGATGGTCTTGAACTCCGAACGATCCTCCTGCCTCAGTCTCCCAAGTGCTGGGATTACAGGCGTGCACTATACCACACCTGGCCATGAACTCTATTTTGATTATTTTTTGTACTCTTAACAGTTTTACATAGAAGACTTCCTTAAGGATAGTTACGTAAAGAATAACATACGTAAATTAAGATTGGTGTTGCAGAAAGCTGCCAAAAAGATTATAGTATATATTGTTTTATAAAGGAGCATTTAACTGCTACTACTTTGTTCTGTCCAGTGGAAAGACAGGCTCATAAAAACATGAGCATGTTCTTATCCTTATTCACTCGATGTTGCACTCCTGTGACTTGTAGCAAAGGTATCTCTTATCTGGTGATTAGGATACACATAAATTTGATGCAATTTTTAAAGTTTTAAAATAATTCTGACTTTGTAGCTTTACCTCTGTTAACTATGACCATAATATTCACATTGTATAATATTGTTTAAATTAATCCAGATAAAATCATGGTCTTTAATTCATTAGCAGAGACTCAAGAATACAGACTATGGCAACAGCTGTGTATTCTTTTTGCCACTTGTTTAAAGAATATAGTAAGACCAGAATCTTCTAGTCAAACTTCACAACTGAAACAAAGACTGCTGAGATTATCTAAGGATTTCCCTCCACGTGGCTGCATGCCTCCTCCTTTGAAAGAAGTAGTAGGAGATCAAGAGAAATTAACAATTTAATAGAATATCTTTTGTACCTCTGTATTTGGTTTATAGTTCCCTGATACTTTGCTGTGTAAATGTGTATTACGGTTACCTACACACTTACGTATCATATAAACTTTAGTGTGGTATTTTTAACTTTCACTTGTATTAAGTCAAACTTTATGTATTTTTAGGAAATCTGTATTGCAAAACACAATGAAAAATTCCAACAGCATTTTCAGAGTGAAGATGAATATAGAACTCATCACACAGTACAACTGGTAAGTTTGGGCACCAGGAGACTTGGGACAAAGCTCATTTTTTACATGTCTTGTGGATAAACTCTGTAGAGAGCTATATAACTGAATAAATCTTACAATAATATACAGAAGAGTTTAATGGCTTATCTATCCATGCACCTGTTAAGGGACATCTTGGTTCCTTCAAATGTTAACAATTATAAATATAGCTGTTATAAACATCCATGTAACATTTTTGTATGCTTTGTTTCCAGTCATTTAGGTAAATAGCAAAGGCATTGATTGCTGAGTAGTATAGTTAGACTATACTTAGTTTTATGAGAAGCTGCCAATCCACTCTCCAGAGTGACCGTACCATATGGACTGAAATTGGGATTCCTCATACATGTCTAGCTTTAGCTCAGTGGCATAAGTGTTTGCCTGGCAAGTGTGAGGTTGTGAGTTCAATCCCCAGTACCAAAAAAAAAAAAAAAAAAAAAAAAAGGTGTGTAGTAGTGTCTCTTAGTAACATGCGATACGATGTTGAACATCCTTCATATACTCATTTTTCACCTGCAATTTTTTTTTTTTCTAACCAATGGTTCAGATCATTTGGTTGGTTATTGAGCTTTTGTTTTCTGTGTTTTAGGAGCTCTTTGTTTTTTTTGGGTAATAATTCTTTAGCACATGTATCTTTTGCAAATATTTTCTCCCAAGTCTGTGGCTTCCTTCCCAGAAGGTTGAAGTTTTACTTTCAGTAAAGTCTAATTTTTACAGTTTGTGTCTAGATGTCTTCCCAAAGCCTTGTGAAATCATAGGTGGAGCTTTTTTTTTTAAAAAAAATTTTTTTTTGTTTTTATCGGTACCAGGGATCATCGGGTACCAGGGATCAAACTCACGACTGCCTGCTTGCAAGGCAGGCGCTTATGCCGCTGAGCTAAATCCCCAGCCCCTTTTTTTAAAATTTTATTTTAAAGAGAAAAAAAATACAATTTCAAAACGGTAATAGAGTAACAATGACAAATACATTGTATATAGTTATCTTTAAATTAGTTACTTACAAGATACAGGCATTTTTTAAGCTTTTTTTTTTTTTTTTTTTTACTATAAAGAGATTAAGACAAAACAGGACATAACAAAGCAGATCAGAACAGAACAATGTAAGCAACACAGTATTTCACCAGAAGAAAACCCGTAATTAACAGTAACTACCACAATGTCTCTTTCTTTGATATAGGTGAGCATAACTTTATATACAGTAGTATCAAACATAACAAAATAGTATAAAACCATTCAAGAGAATGAGAGTATTACAAGGCATTCTGAACCAAATAACCTAAAACAAACAATGACTACTATGTTATCTCATTTTCCATAGAAAATTTGTTTATTCTATCACATAATACAACCCAATAAAGTATAACATGATAGAGCCAATGGAAACAGAAGAGCAAGAGCATGATAGGACTTCAGAGTAAGATGATATTATATCAGTACTGGCTATTATAATGACTTGTTTTCTTCAAAATAGCTGTTCATACCATCATAGACAATAAAATCAAACATACCAGGATAAACCCATTCCAACTAAGGAATGTGATCGTTATAAGGCTTCAAAGCAATGTAATGGGGAATCACGATTAGCATAAACTCTTATGTATGCTTACTATTTTTTACTTTAGGGAGACTACAGTATTTATACATGTGAGTTTGATTTATTTCGCTTATGAGTATGATCTCAAGTTGCGCCCATTTATTAGTAAATATCTCGATGTGATCCTTCTTTATAGCTGAGTAGTACTGCATTGTATAAAAATACCACAACTTTTTTATCCATTCCTCAGTTCATGGACACTTGGGTTGTTTCCAAGATCTGGCAATTACAAATTGGGCTGCTATAAACCTAGGTGCACTATCACTGTGGTATGATGCTTTCAGTTCTTCTGGGAATATGCCTAGAAGTGTAATAGCAGGAACAAATGGGACTTCCAATCTTAGCTTTCTGAGAAATCTCCAGACTGACCTCCACAATGGTTGCACCAGTCTACACTCCCACCAGCAATGCAGGAAAGTTCCTTTTTCCCCACAGCCTCTCCAGCATTTGTTGTTGATGGTTTTCTTGATCCTGGCCATTCTTTCAGGAGTGAGATGGAATCTCAGTGTGGTTTTAATTTGCATTTCTCTAATGACAAATGATGATGAAAATTATTTTATATATTTATTTGCCATTTGTATTTCTTCATCTGAGAATTGTATATTCATCTCAGATGCCCGTTTTTGGATTGGGTCCTTGAATTTCAGGGGTCTGATTTTTTGAATTCTTTATTTGTTTTAGACAGAAGTCCTTTGTCTGAGGGTCAGTTCACTAAGATTTTTTTCCCAGTTTGTGGGTTTTCTTTTCACTATGCTGGAGATTTCTTTTGACATGCAGAAACTTTTTAATAAGATGTGATCCCAGCTATTGATTCTGGGAAGTAGTTCCTGTGCGTTTTGATTTCTGTTGATGAATTCTCTACCTACCCCTATGTCTTCAAGATTTTTACCTATTTTTTCTTCCAACAGATTTATTGTTTCTGTTTTAATAGTCAGATCTTTGATCCATTTAGATTTTAGTTTAGTATATGGTGATAGGCATGTGTCTAGTTTTAGTCTTCGGCGTATGAAAAGCCAGTTTTTCCAGCACCATTTATTAAAGAGACTGTCGTTTTTCCAGTGAACATGTTTGGCCCCTTTATCAAAGATAAGGTGTAATTGAGTGTGTTTGTAGCTGTGGTTGCATGTTTTAATCTATTCCATTGATCTTCAGATCTGTTTTTATTCCAATACCATGTTGATTTTATTACAGTAGCTTTGTAGTATAATTTCAATTCAGGGATTGTGATGCCTCTTGCCTTGCCTTTGCTGCTTAGAATTGCCTTTGCTATTCTAGGTCGCTTCTGGTTCCAGATGAATTTTAGGAGTGATTTCTCTAGGTCTATGAGGTATGTTGATGGTATTTGCATTGGGATTGCATTGAATTTGTATAACAATTTTGGGAGAATGGCCATTTTCACAATATTTGTTCTCCGTGTCCATGAACAAAGAATGTCTTTCCATTTTCGGAGATCGTCTTCAGTTTCTGTTTTCAGGGTATTATAATTTTCTCTATATAGATCTTATACTTCTTTCATGAGATTAATTTGTAAGTATTTCATTTTTTTGGATGCTAGGGCAAAGGGTGTGGCTTCTCTTATTTCTTTCTCCGTAATTTTGTTGTTACTGTATAGAAATGCTATTGATCTTTGAGCATTGATTTTGTATCTAGCTACATTGCTGAATTTATTATCTAGGAGTCTTTCAATGGAGTTTTGGGGGTCTTCTATGTAGAGTATCATCCACAAATAATGATAATTTAACTTACTCTTTTCCTGTCTTTACCCCTTTGATTTCTCTCTATTGTCTAATTGCTCTGGCTAGTATTTCCAGTACTATGTTGAATAGGAGCCGTGATAAGGGACATCCTTGTCTTGTGCCTGATTTTAAGGTAAAGGCCTTCAGTTTTTGGCCATTTAATATGATGCTGGCTGTTGGTTTGTCATATATGGCCTTTATCATATTGTGGTAAAGACCATCTATTCCAATTTCCTGTAAGGTTCTTATCATGAATGAGTGTTGGACCTTATCAAAAGCTTTTTGTGCATCTGTAGAAATGATCATGTGATTCTTACTTTTGGCTCTAATAGTAATGGAGGATTACACTTACTGATTTACAAATGTTGAGCCATCCCTATATGTCTGGGATGAGTCCCATTTGGTTCTGGTGTATAATATTCTTGATGATTTGCTGCATCCTATTTGCCAATATTTTATTGAGGATTTTTGCATCTATGTTCATTAGAGAGATTGGCCTGTAGTTCTCTTTTTTGGTTGGGTCTTTCTCAGGTTTTGGTACTAGAGTCATATTTGCTTCCAGGAATGACTTAGGAAGAATTGCTTCCATTTCGATTTTATTGAAGAGTTTAAGGAGTGTTTACAGTAAGTCTTCTTTGTATTTCTTGTAAAATTCCGCAGTGAATCCGTCTTGGCCTGGGCTCTTCTTTGTAGGTAAGGACTTAATTATATTTTCAATTTCATTAATAGAAATTGAGTTATTCAGCAGTTTTACATCTTCTTGACTCAGCTTTGGTAGTTCATATGTTTCTAGGAATCTGCCCATTTCTTCTGTGTTATCAAACCTATGAGAGTAGAGGTTTTTGAAATAGGTGTTGATCTTCTGTATTTCCACAGAGTCTGTAGTGATTTTGTCTTTTTCATTCCTTATTACATGAATTTGAGCTTTTTTTCTTTCCTTTTTTAAATTAGGGGCGTATCAATTTTATTTATTTTTTCAAAGAACCAACTCTTTGATTCATTGATTCTTTGGACTATTTTCTTAGTTTCTATTGCATTAATTTCTGCTCTGATTTTTATAATTTCCTCCCTCCTTTTGGCTTTGGACTTGAGTTGCTCTTCTTTTTCTAGATGTTTGAGGTGTAGCATCAGGTTGTTTATTTATATTCGTTGTGTTTTCCTGATGTGCGAACTCAGTGCAATAAATTTTCCTCTGACAACTGCTTTCATTGCATCCCACAGATTCCGGTAAGTTGTATTTGTATTTTTGTTTGCTTGTAGGTATTGTTTAATTTCTTCTTTAATTTCCCTTGTGACCCACTGATTACTCAAGAGTATGTTATTCAGTTTCCATGTGTTTGTGGGATTTTTGCAGTATCTTTTATCATTGATTTCTAATTTCATGGTGCTATGATCTGATAACTTGCATGAGATAATTTCAACTGTTGCCTTTATTTAAATATGTTCTGTGGGTTAGTATGTGGTCTATTTTAGAGAATGTCCCATGTACCGCTGAGAAGAATGTATATTCTGATGTTGTTGGGTGGAACACTCTGTATATGTCTATCAAGTCCATTTGTTCACAAGATTCAGTTCTGTTATTTCTTTGCTGAATTTCTGTCTGGTTGATCTGTCCCTTCTTGTCAGTGGTGGGTTAAGGTCTCCTGTTATAA